GGCATCCGCGGTTGGCCCCGCCCTCCAGGCCACGCCCCGGCCACGCCCCCAGGCCCAGCGTCTGGTTCCACGCGTCCCCGAGGTCCCGCCTCAGTTCGGCTCGCTGAGCCCCTCTGCCGGCGCCCCGCGAGCCGCGCACGCCCTTCCTCCAGCTGCCTCCGTTTCCGCCTCGCCCTGGGCTCACACTGGCTTCGCCCACGCGCCGCTTTGTCTCGGCTCCCGCCGGCCGGCAGCCTCGGTCAAGCGTGGAAAAGGGCAGGTGAAGCTTCCTCCTGAAACTCGGGTCCCACCCTGGGAAGCAGCCGCCCTCGGACAGACGTCAGAGCAGAGAGGGGCCTTTCCTGTGCCCTCTGGATCCCGGGGCCTGCACGCTTTAGGCGCTCAATAAACAGCTCTTGGAAGTAAGACTCATGTCTGCTTTATTTGCAGGGCTGGCGCCTCGGAGCGGGCTCAGGTTGCGTGCAGTGTTGGTGACCATCAACACAGGAGCCAAAGGGCCCTCCCTACCTCTACAGCCAGACAGCCTGGGTTCAGATCTCGGCTTCTCCACTTTGTGGCTGTGAAAATTTGGCAGAGTGCTCCCGCCCTGTGTGTTGCTCAGTCGCCTTAGGACCGAATGAGTCAGCCCACTTAAAATGCTTAGCACAGGACTTGGTGAAGATCAGGCGCTCAGAGAATGTCAGTTCTTGTGATTGCTGCAGTTTAAAGACTGGCCCAGTCGGTGTCTCTGGAGGTGATGTTTATGACCCTGCTGGGTGGGTGCCGGACACTCTAACTAGGGATGCAGCTATCCCGGTCTGTAAGTACGTGAGCATACACAGGCATATGCTCATGACGGTGGCTGAGTGTACTCCTCGCTGTGACCGTGACTTGTGTAACTGTGCCTGTACTTGAGAAAGCCTGGGCAGACCCCAAGTGCATTAGGTGGCGCTCAATGTGTGCATCCGGGCCAATCACCATGTGCCCTGCTGCTCACACGATGCTCCCCTCCAGCCAGGGTAGCAGTGACATTTGAACTCCACCACCATCCGTTCCCAATCCTCAACTGAGAGGGCACCTCGTAGGGTCAGGGGCCCGCCACCAGGCGTGAGTTCAATGGAGAAACTGGTGGGGTTGAGGATGAGGAGGGCCTCTGGGTGGCTGGGGCGCCGGACACAGCGGCCATGGCCTGAGCACAGGGCTTGACTGCACAGACGGGCTCCACTGGTCACGTTCAGGATGAAGGGCCCCAGTGTGGTGTCCACATACTCCTTGATGGCCTGGCATGATTCCTGGGTAGGAGGGGGAATGTCAGGGACACCACGGCCATGCATGGGCCCACCTAGGGCATTGAGGCCCTGACTGGCTAGCCAGCCAGGACTGCAGGGGTAGAAAGGATGGTCCAGTGCCCTGGCTGGTGTTGCACAGTGGTTGGAGCATCGTCCTGAGCACCAAAGGGTTGAGGGTTCGATTCCCAGTCAAGGGCACTTGCCTGGATTGCAGGTTCAATCCCTGCCCCATCAGGGCTTATGAGGGAAGCAACCAATCAATGTTTCCCCCTCCCTCCTCTCTCCCTCCCACTCTCTCTAAAATCAATGGAAAAATATCCTCGGGTGAGAATTAACAACAACAAAAGAGGATGGGCCAGGGTCTCCCCAACCAACCTCTGCCCCCACCCCCGCCCCCACCCTGGGCCTGAGCTCACCTTGGTTTTTGTGTTCTCCCAGCTCACCCAGAGCACCACTCCTGCTGCTCCCTGGGCTGCGCTCTCCCCCAGGCTGTGCTCCAGCTCATCCTGGGGAAAGGGACAGCATGGCTCTGTGGGTCCTCCCTCCCTCCCCACAGCAGATTGCTATTAACACCACTGGATGAGACAAATAACTCCTAATTCCCACCTGGGGCAACTCTGGCCCTGGCGGTTAGAGGCCAGCCTGTCCCCACTCTGGCCTTGCGTACCATGCAGGCGGGCCTGCATCCTTTTGATGGATGCTGAAAAGTCTGTGCCTAGCACAGACCTTGGCACACAAAAGGTGTTCAAAGAACGTGAGAATGAATGGATAGAAGTGCCACAAGGCTGTGTGGCATCAGTTGCTGGACCTAATGCTGGACAAGGGAGGCTATGAGGTGGGCAGGGTCACCAAAGGAGACTCACCTGGGGCAGAAAGCGGTTGGTCATGTCATAGAAGATCTGGACATAGGGCAGCACCGGCAGACTGGGATCCCCAGCACCCCCAGCCACACGGAATGCTTCAGCCACTCGTTGCCGCACATACATCTTTGCCTTCCCTGTGCCCTCCAGCGCTGCGGGAATGTAGATGCTGGGGTAGAGGGCACGGCTCTGGCTCCACAGCCACCCTAGTTGATCGTTCTGGGCACAGACACCCTGTGGGCACTCGCCCGTGTAGTTGGGGCTTAGGAAGTCATAGTTATAGCAGTCAGGGAAGCCATAGAAGCCCCAGAGGCCACGAGGTCGTAGCGCCTGCCCCAGCTTGAGGGTGCCTACCATCCAGGCCTGTGCAGCCTTCTGGAACTGGTCCTGGGCCACCATCTCCACCCAAGGAGCCGGCCAGTCAGGGTGCTGCCCCTGTACCAGTTCCCGTGAGCGCTGCCGATAAATGTCCTTGGCGTCCCAGTTGAAGGCCCAGCGTGGGCGCCAGGCCTCCCAATCAATGACTGCCAGCCCTGAGAAATCAGAGGCGGGCATGGCCGCCAGGATGTCGTGGTACGTGCGGGCCAGGTGAGCATCCAGGCTGGCATTCTGGGGCAGGCCGCCAAACACAGGCTCCCCAGCAGACGTGTAGTAGGGGTAGGTGCCCAGCTGGGAGCTGTAGAAAATGGTCATGTCAGGGCCGAGGAAGGTCTGTCCCGGGTTGGCCACCACATCGAAGACACTGACATCCACGTCCACACCGTGCTTCTCCAAGCACCACTGGGTGTTTGCATTCCAGATGGTGGTGAAGGGCTGGTTGGGTACCACGGAGCCTCTGGAGCCTTGGGCCATGCCGAGCATGGTCAGGAAGAGGGTGCAGATGGGAAGCAGTTGAGCTGCCATGGCACGGGGCAGCTCTAGGGAAACCTGGCCAGGGGAAGCAGAGCTGAGAGCAGGCCTTGAACTCTGACTCCTGCTCTGACTTCAGGTAAACACTGGCAGGGCTCAGGGAACTCAGAGGGCCAGGGAGAGGCATGGAGGAGAGCACTGCCCCTGGAGGGCACATCTGAGTTGCCTCTTGGGCCAGGCGTTTTTCTGTCTCCCACAGGCCCTGCCCTGGGCTCGCCCACCCCACTTTCCCAAGGGCCACAGAAGCCATGGCATCTGTTTTGAGAAGAGTGGCAGAGCCAGGCCCTGCCCAGACTGACCTGACTGATGGGGCGGGGCCTTTCCTGTCTCTTCCCCCAGGAATCCCGGCCAGCCATTGGAGGAGGGGATGCTCAGGGACCAAGGGCAGGTCAGCCCAACCCTCCTGTATCCCGCCAGTCTGCCCCTTAGTCCCTGCTGACCTCGGGGCTGAAGGGCCTCCTCATCCAAACTTCCTGACCCCAGGCTTAGGGCCTAGGCAGGGCTCAGCAAGATTCTTGTTCCTCAACTCTGGCCCCAGCTGCGCCAGACTCTTGGAGGAAGACGCTGCTGCTGGCAACTCTGAACTTTTGTAGGGGTCACCCCGCCCAGACCGAGGGCGGGCTGAGGGCTGGGCCAGGCAGCGGAGCCACCTCACCACCCTAGCAAAGTGCCCTTGGCAGGGGTGGGGCCTGGGCCGGAAGCGGCCCCCCCACCCAGGCAGCACTTGGGCTGGGCTGTGTGTCTTTACTTGGGCTGGGGTGGGGGTGGAGGCAGTGCAGGGGGGTTGTCTGGGTGGCAAGCCCAGCTGGGCAGGCTTGTTCATGGTCCTGGAATTTGGGTATCTTGGGACTGATACCCAGGGAGTATGCGTGCCCCACATGGCTGCATGACATTTGGGGGCTCTGGACACTTTTGCCTTTGTGAGCAGGCCCCTTCCTTAAAAAAAAATTTTATTTATTGATTTTAGAGAGAGAAAAGGAGAAACTGTGCTTTGCTGTTCCACTTATTTATGCATTCATTGGTTGATTCTTGTATGCGCCCTGACCAGGGACTGAATAAAAAATTTAAAATATATTTTGCATCTATGTTGGTATAAAGACAAATAATATCCAGACTGAATCCATTATATACTCATTTATATGTTTTTTCTTCTATTAAAAAAATTAAAACATCTGTGGGCCTCTAAAGCACCGTGGCCCTAGGCCCTCTGCCCAGTGGATGTCCCCCTGCTTTAGGGACCTGTGTCTAAAAGGCACTGTGCTCATGAAATCGGGGCTGTGCTGTCACTCTGTCCGCCTGCTGGGTCAGTGGCTACGTCCGTGAAGCCCCAGTTAGTGACCATCTGGGCCTCCGCACAAACTCCAGGGGAGTGCGATGTGCGAGTGTGGGACCCCACTGTCTTGTGACTGTGAGACCATGTCAGTGTGAGCACAGGTCTGAGCAGTGACCACATGCTGGTTCATTCCTTTGTGATTTCACTTGTTTGCTGACTCAGATGCTAGTGATTGATGCCTGCTGGGGGCCCAGGCCCAGGCTTGCCTGCCAGGGTGGGGTGAAGGAACCATCAGGTCCCTGGCTTGGGTTAAAGTGCTGCCTGGGCCCAGCCGGCATGGCTCAGTGGTTGAGCATTGACCTATGATCCAGATCACAGTTCAATTCCCGGTAAGGCACATGCCCAGGTTGTGGGCTTGATCCCCACTGTGGGGCATGCAGGAAGCAGCTGATTAACGACTCTCCCTCATCACTGATGTTTCTCTCTCTCTCTCTTAGTCTCTCTCTGAAATCAATAAAAATATATTAAAAAAAAAAAGTGCTGCCTGGGTCTGCAGCCTAGTCTGAGCCTGAGCCAGTGGCATGGTGGTCACCAGAGCAGTGGCGCAGCTGGCTGCCATCTGGGCTTGGTCCTCCAGCTGGCTAGGATGGAAAATCTAGCAGGGCTGAAGGAGAGGGTCAAGGGGGCTGGGGGCTGTGGGCACATCAGCCGCAAGCCGAGCACAGGATCTAGCCACAGAGGTGGCGGCCCCTGAGCCTGTCCAGAAAGCAAGGTCCCAGAGTGATGACCATCAGGCCCAGGGCAGCCCTGGACACCCCCCCCCCCCA